AAGAACTTGTAAATTCCCGCTTCAAAATAATACCAATCCAATGTTTTTTCTTAGTAAAAGTGCGTTTCTGACAAACAAATTTTCTGGATGTCAAAGCAGGCTTTCTCCTCTTTATCTTTGTGCTGCAATAACTTGTTCCCAAGTCTTACATAATGTCGAGTCACTTGCTTTGTGGTGAAAAAGCAGTAATTTTTGATTTTGAATCAAAGTTTCTTGGTATTCAGAGACCCTCCAATATGCCTAGCCTAGCAAAAAGCAATTTTTTGTGCTCTTTTGATCTTGCAGACTGAGGTCCGCCCTTTTATCGCTTGTTTAGATAACCATAAAACGGACATTTGGCCGATATGATTTATTTCTTTATAGCGTAGCCTTTCTGACCGTTTTGCAAAACTTTAAATTCTTTTTGCTTGGGTTGTGCACTTAAAGCACTCACAGCGAAAATCCCACGCGCCTTGATTACAAAATTTCTAGAAATGAGCCAGAACTCCTCTTTCAATTATAAAATTCAGCAAATACTAAGAGGGTGCAAAACTGGAACAATCCAGTTCATTTTTATTTGGTCATTTTTTTCTGAGTTTCCATGTGCAAATCTTAAAATGTTTATGGTCAAACGTTTAGTTAAACATCGGTAAGGCGAAATGCAAGTTTGAATTACCATAAAGTAAATAAACTGAAGAAGTACATTACCACAAACTTAACTTTCCGTTCTGTTGTTCCAGTTTTGCTCTTCAGTGTATATTTTTTGTCTACTCGGTTATTCCCTGGGGAATTCATGCTTTATTTAAATTTAAAAAATTAAATTACTACACCATTTTAATTAATTAGTGTGTAGTCCAGTTTTGTTTTGTAGAAGTTTCGTTAGTATACGCTTCAGTTTTTACACATTGAACATATTTGCATATTTATATATTTACGCGTATCTATTTACATTTATTTATGTACAAGTCTACAAAATCTTATTACTTATAAAGCGATTTTTAATCTTCGTTGCTTAACACACATTTTTTCAATTACTTCTTGTGTTGTAATCGGCACATCATTATGTAGCGCTAACATCGTTAAACCATTCAGCCGCTCCTTAATTGTATAAAAAGAAGGGACAAATAAGATAGCATATTCAACAATTGGGTAGTCCACTTGCAAAGTGCGCTATGTAAATTTTTTTTAGATTTTTAGTTTTTGGTGGGTTTGATGTCCACTAACAGCAGAGTAAAAATTTTTTCTATATTCTGAAAAAAATAGCATGAAATGTTAATTACTCTTGCAAAAGTCGCTATAATACTTACTTATACACTTTCAAATGTCTCCTCTTCGTATGAACTTAGAAAACTGCAAGAAAACGTGGTAGTTTCGGTGCCTAGTGGAAGAGGTCGCAAAAAAGAAGCAAACCAATCTTCCTAGAGGAGAGAACGCGAAAAGCTAAAAAAAGCTAGCTATGTAAAAGTTACTGTTTCAAAACTTGCAATATTAAATTTTTAAATATAAAATTTGCAAATCTACCATGCTGCAATTTTATTTTTTTTAATGGTATTAGGCTCTTATTTATCCAAATATTCAGGTAATAAAAAAAGATACAGTTCGGATGTTACTTGTTGTCGTAGACGTTTTTTTTTTAATTTATGGTTTACTTTTATAAAATCACATAACGCTGTTTGCAAGTGGACTACTCATATATTCATTAAAAGATAATTTGTCATCCGTCTGAAATAAAAAAAGTTTTAAATCAGAAGGATAAAATAGTATTGTGTTATTAATTCAAAAGTAAATAATTGTAGTTCAATGACGAGGAGGGGATCTATCCCCCCAAACCCACATCACCCCCCCGCCCCCCCCGCGCTATGCCACGGATCCTCGTGCACCACTTTTTTTGTTTGTTCATTAAATAGTTACAGAGCGAAAAAGAAATAAGTTAAACCCAAAAAAAAACCAATATATATAACACCCAAAAGGATTTATTGTCAAAGTCATCAAATCTGCATCATTCGTTCGATTTTCGAAAATGAGGTGTCAAATGAAACAGCTTCGGCTGTAAATGCTAGAACTTACCGTTGATTTTTGGGAATTTATGTTCGAAAATTTTTTTTATAATCTTTAAATAGAACATAACTTTATTTAAAAAGTAAAATGGAAGCGTTCAAGTCAGATATTAACAGCTTTTGCTATTGCCCTGGTAAATATGTACCAAAAAGTACATGTCCTTAAAAATTCACTACTTACATCATCATCTGGCTCATTTCAGCAAGCAGTATCCACTGAGTCAGATGAGCACGGCGAGCGCTACCATAATATGGCTCTGGTAGTAAATGCTTGTAACACAAAAATATTTTAACTTATTCTAATTGAAAAAACAGTACAACACCCAGAAATTTGTTGGTGGAGTAAGCACGTGTTTGAGGATCGTGATCATGAAGAATTTCAAGATGACGCAGTAAATCCAGCATTGAAAACACACGTGGACATCATGTGTGACTCAGATTCTGATAACAGCGATGATTCCGGGAATCGAGAAGAGCCAAGGGAAGATGTCTACAATGTAGCTCCCAATTCGTAGCGCTCAGATTCCTGGGTGTGCTAGGAGTGCGCGCTTCGTGCGGTATAAATTCAATGTACCTGTGATCGGAAAAAGAGTGGTCACTGAAGACCCTCCAATCCAAGATCCGAGTTACCAAATTAGAGGAAGCCACGGTGCGATCAAGAACCTCCTTCCTGGTTGCAGTTACGAACGTAGGGGCACTCCCCCAGCTCGAGAGATTGCGTCCGAATTTCCCACATGTTGTGCCGAGATTTTTCGTCGGATCCTATAATGGCACGAGCCCTCCTGCGCCTGACTTCGGCTAGAGCGTTCCTCAGTAGCACCGGAGGTGGTTCCACCGCATCGTTATGCGGCATGTACGCCAGAGTTCTCCAGCATCACCTTCCAGCCTGGTTGTCACAGTATATCCATTGCTGAAATTGGATAAAATTTAAACCTTTAGTTCTGCCTTAGAATGCTATAGATTGATCTGTAGGACCCTCATCTTCCAGGAGTCTCTCAATGAGCGCTAGCTGTGCGCCCTCATCCTAGTACTTATCGTAAAGCCATCCTAGACTGAAGTCGGATTTTCCAGCCGAGGACCTTCCCCTAGTGCTTTCAGCATCCGATTGTGCCTCTACAATCCTCCGACGCCTCCGGAGGTTGTGTGGTCATCGGCAGCAAGAAAACATCTATTGCAAGCGCTTAGAAACCATTTAAAACATTGCCTGCAAATATGCTCGTAAACAACAAAAAAACTCAAAAACAGTTTTGTGTTTTGTTTTTTTATTCAGTTTATTGCATTAGTTATCGAAAAATTATTATTGTCGAAAAATTAAAACGCACAATCAAGAGTTGCTTGATATTCTCAAATAATAAAGATCGATTTAGGAGGGTAGATATTTCCACTGCATCCATGTAAATCGTTAACAGTAGCAACCTCTTTTGAAGTGTTAAGCGTGGTACACAGATCTCAAGAACTGCTCAAGAAAATGCTCAAGAAATGGTCAAGAGAAATGTACCTATTAAGCAAAATTTGACTAAGCCGTACGGATATCTTAAGAAATTTTCGGCGCTTTCTACTACGGTTTTCTAAAGTTTTTTTGGGAACAAAGAGCACAAGGCAATCCATGTTTTCATCATAAGTATATGCCCGTTCCATTATTTCGTGAAGAAGGCTATGAAACATCAGATGTCAAAATCTCAGAAACACTACTATTTTCTTAAGGGATCCGTACTTAGCTTTATAAATTAAAATAAGCAAAATATGCATGGTCGCTAAAATTAAGCTTGGAAACCCTGAAGAAGCAAAATAAGTAATTTCAAGCATGTTTAAGCGACTTATGCATTTCCCTCATAAACCAAGTGTAGAGAACACACACACGAACTTGTATTGCACTCCCGCCCAAAATCAAGTGCAGCGAACAAACACAGGCACTTGTGTTTAAAAGTAATTCGCTCGTTCTTAATTGGGTATGCGTTTTTTATGCAATTCTCAAATATCTCTTCGATGAACTTAGTGAACTGATAAGTCCCTGGCATTTTCAGCTATGGTCAACGCTAAACCAGCTTGGCTATCACACGGTGCTTTAGGTATCGCTGCCACTCCACTCCCGGAGTAATTTTTGGTATGGTAGTAAGCTACGGCTTACAAGCCACACTGGGGCTCTGCATGAATGCATCCCTGAATAAATCCCAGCTCATTGCACAGCAGCCTACGGCAGACTCCTCCAATGGATACACGGTAAATGGGTCACATCTTGCGCTACTGCTTCATCAGCCTGCCCGCATATCTCACTCGCTCTCTCTCTCTCTCTCTCTCTCGCACAGCAGGCATATGGAGTGCGTGGTTGGCTGGATGTGCAACCTATACACCATACGGGTTCATTGAGCTCGATGCATAACCACTCGCAAAGGTAATCCCTACCTCCTCTACTACTCTAACTCGACCACAACATCTAAACCTGGTCTCCCGCTCTCCCTTAGCTAAACAAAGCAAAAGCTTAAAATTTTCGGTTCTGATCATCAGCCCTGGCTCCGGTCGGGAGGACTCTGAGGACCACTTTCTCGAGACCATAGCAGGATCAGCGCTGATCCTGCGACGATAAGGTGGGGTTGCAGTATCGAAGGATTTCCGCGATTTCCTCTTGTATAGAGGGTTCGGCAGGGATCCAGACACGAGACCGCGGTTAATTTCTTTAGGAAATTTTGTATGCAATAATTTGGCCCTGGAAAGTCCTTGTAAATAGGACAAAGATGTACCTTCTTACTAAATAAACATCAAAAACTTAGTAAGCTAATATCTCGAAAAAATGACGTAATGGAACAAAACTAAGACTGCAGTTTATGAGCACTACTTAATGGCATCATATATACATTTTCTTTTAGTTTTTACGTTACTACAGTGTGACTAGGCTGTGGAAAATATCATATTTAATATCTAAATAAACATATAAAAGAACTTAAGAATAAATAAGTCGATTTTTAGATGTGCCTTGGCGTTCTTGCAATAACTTCTGGAATACCGTGAACTGTGTCAATCCCTATGAACGAAATAATTTACATTGCTGGGAGAAATCTATTAACGGAACGATGAAAAAAATTTGCAAACTTGCCGCAGCGAATGTTTCCGCCTCAGATCTAACAGATCCAGTGAAAGAATTCTGGGAGTAAGTACGACAACAACTATCTTATCTCTTACATATGTATGTACATGCATAAATAGATATAAAAAGTTCTTGCTGCGTTAGTCCCGCGAAAACCCGAGAATGGCTGGGCCGATTTTCAAGATTCTTGTGTTGTATTGTTCGTCTTACATCGCGATTATTTTATGAAACCTTTTGAAATATATATATATATATTTTTATATTTACGTATATACATATATATTTTTTACGACGCGTAGATCACGACCGCGAACGTGCTATACATAGCGGTGTAAGCGAAGCTGCGTAAAATTAATTTCCACAAAACCGCAGAGGTGAGTTTTCGGCACGTTTTTGTCACGTAATTTTTTGAGCCAGCCACAGCTTGAGCTTATTTTCAACAGAAATTCTTGAAAATGGCGAACCCAATAGTTGAAAATAGCTAAAAATGGAGGGTTCAGGATATATAAGAAACCTATTTTGATGTTGTACTCGACCCTACCTACAACTTACGCTAAATATTGTTTCGGGTGTATTTCGTGATTTTTTTGTAGCACCGTGTTATTCTTGATAAAAAAATGTTTATGTTATATTCAGGGACTGAAAATAACTCTTCTTGATTCAAAATTTAATCTAAATAATCAGCGTCCAAAATATATGATGTGTTATATTAAATTGATCTTGTTAAAAGATCTACGCGGATAAGCTATAAACCTTTATTTAATAATTTTTATTTTACATTCACAAAGTAATTAATATCTGTTGAGGTTTATTTGTCGGTCACAAAATAATTGTTATGTGATGAGTTTTATTTTTTTGTTCAGGAAATGAAAATTCACTCAAAAAATAAAAGTTGTTTTGTGAGTTTTAATTTTCTTTCACAAAATAAAACTTAAGCGCACAAACGGCAATAACGCAAATTTGTGTTGTTTCCCAATTGAATGTGAAATAACACTAATTTGCTTTATTTCATTTCTCGTTGAGCAATAAGACCAACTTTTAAACTTAACAATTGCCCTCGCCCTCGCGTCCCCCGCCCTCCTCCCTTCCTTTCGCAATTATGAACTGGTGACATTATATCCGTTTAGAAAAAAGAATAATAAAATGACACTAGCTCACTTCTGAAAAAGCTTTTTAACGTGCAAGTAATGGGAATTATTACGAATGGTGTTATTGCATGCACCCCACCGATGCACAGTGGTTGCATTTAAGGTCTGTTAAGAGTAAAAACTGTAATATGTAAAAGTGGGCGGGGTTGGACACGCCACCATACAGTCATGTGAAAAATAATAGGGACACGACACTGCGACCAGTTTCGGCTATTTTTGTTTTTTTGTTTGTTTGTTTAATGCTTATTTTTTTTTTATAAACATACAACTCACTAACAACATTGCCTAAATACTTGAAAAATGAACCAAGAAACACACAAATCCTACTTTTCTAAAACAACGATTTGCATAGAACACAACACGAACTATCTAAAAGTTTAATTGCAGAAATAAAGTCAATACCTTTATGTACAACATCCATTGCATATAATTTTAACTCACTCGGCTTTTCACAATATTTTAATTACGTTAATTCCAATTCAATGAACAATTGATGACACTTTTGTTGTTTTTTTGAGAAACAACCGTTAGAATGAAAACAAAAAATATATGACAACATGAAGTTTGGACAAAAAACTGATTGCAAAGCTTATTTTGGTGTAAAAATTTTAACATATGTACATTTTTTTAATTTTGGCCTATGGCAGCAACCACTGTGCGATGGTGGAATTATACCAGGTGAAGTAATATTAGAGAGAGAAGAAAGAGTTTGACACTGCCTTATTTGAAATATTTGCCTATAAAATGTGACTATAAGGCAGCCGAATGTCAGAAAATAAAGCGAGAAAGCTGTTTTATTACTTCAACTGTTTACTACGCCATGCATCCCACCTGCTTGTACCGAGTATACGTTCAAATTTAGAAGTCTGAGAGTGGCTATAATTTTGCATATTTTTACGTCACTATTTCGCCCGTCTTTGTAAATGAAATCCACAGTTCGGATATAGTGAAGCAAGTGATGACAACGCAGAAATTTTAACTGAAGATAGAACTCAAAACAATATTTTCCGTGTTATACATATGCTACGGACAGGAACGGCAACCAGAAAATCTTTTGGGGGAGTTCATTGAAAGTTGCGTTTTTAATTTATAAAATTCATTCATCGTATTTGCTTAAGGTTTATATGAAATATGTGTATACTATACTTAAAATAATATGCTTAAAATGTATATTGAGATTCATTTGTACTGCTAAGTAATACAAATGTATGCATTCGCGTTAATTATAATTATAAATGGATAAGCCCTACTGCATGGAAGCATTTTTCGGCCCTTCAAACAAACAAACGACAGCACTGGCTACGACGGGGAAACTTTTGTAATGTGTTCTGAGGTTAGACGCATATCCTGACGTGATGGAGCAAAACGGACAGATTCGTATTCCGCGAGCCCAAAAACAATTAGACACCTGGTCTGGTCGATCGATTTTTTTATTAAAATTTGAAAACGTTCGCCTTGATAGCTAGCTTAAACTTTGTCCACTTACCGATTTATAAACAAATTATAAAAGTGTAGAACAGTCCGTTTCTATCGATAAATAACTGTGCCAGCGGACATTTTTTTTTAAATATACGTGCATTTATTTGTTGGATCTGTTTATTTTACATCTATTAAGCCTAACAAGTTTAAAAATCTTACGTCTAATTTAAAATAATACAGCTCAAACCCTGGGGTTGAGCCCTGTTGGTTTAATGTCGCTCAACGAAAGGCTGGTAGATCCCTTCTTCGCAGGCGTGTTATATTTGTTGTGTTGCACAGGGCACTTGCCAGTGGATTTGGGTGGTTACGCAGTTTTATTTTATATTCTTCTCTGCTGCTGTCGAATACAGATTTAACCATCGGTATACCAAGGTCCCTATGTACATATATTTTCATTGCGGACATACCACGGTGCTCCCGTTAAGGCCCTTAGCGTTTTAGATTTGAATCTTTGGATCCTGTCAATGTTGGTTGCACAGGTCGTACCCCACAGTTGAATACCATACATCCATATAGGCTTAATGACTGTATTATATGCGAGTACTTTATAATCTAGTTTCAGTTTTGACTTACTGTTTATAAGCCAGTTCACGCTAGCTGACTTTAGCTTCATTTGTGTAATCTTTGTTGATATGTGTTTGCGCCAAGTTAGTCTCCTATCCAAGTGTATTCGTTGATATGTCACCTCATTGGCTTGTGGAATATGGACATTATTTAATTTGATTGAGGGGCATACTTGCGGTCTGAGTGAAAATGTTGTATGTTTACACTCCTGTTCGTTGACTTTTATGCGCCAGTTTGCCAGCAATTCTTCTATGCGTAGTAAATATTCCTCTAGTACTCTTGAAGCTCTGTTGGGACATTTATTACGACTTACTAAGGCGGTATCATCAGCGAAGGTGGATATTAGTATATCCTTGCTAGTTGGAATATCTGAAGTGTAGATGATATACAGCATAGGCCCGAGTATACTACCTCGAGGAACGCCAGCCGTTATCGACATGTCTTCTGAAGTGAAATTAGATACGTTTACAGCGAATTTTCTGTTAGTTATGTATGATTCAAATGTTTTGTGGAATTTCGGCGGTAAAAATTTTTTAATTTTATATATAAGACCGTCGTGCCACACTTTGTCGAATGCTTGTGCCACATCGAGAAAAATTGCAGAGCAGTACTCTCTGAGCTCAAATGCCCTTCTGGTTTCATTTGTAATTCGATTAACTTGTTCAGTTGTACCATGATGATCCTGGAAGCCAAATTGGTGTGCTGGTATTAAATTGCGTTCATGTAGAAAGGGAGATATCTTTGATAGGAGTACTTTTTCGAATACTTTGGAAAGACAGGGCAGTAAGCTTATTGGTCTGTATGAGGACGGCTGTGTAGCGTCTTTTCCAGGTTTGGCTACCATGATTTTCTTCGACCTTTTCCATGATTTTGGAAAGTAACCGAATTTGAGGATAGCGTTGAAAAGGTCAGAAAGAATTGCTAGCGCAACATTCGGTAGCTCTATTAGCATTTTTGGAGTTATAAAATCAGCACCCGGCGATTTCTTTGGTATAACCTGCTTTACTATAGCTTTTACTTCTAAAGAGTTCGTCTTGCTCGGTGTGTATAGCTCATTTGTATTTTTGGTTAGCCGTGGCAGCCTGAAGTTGTTCGTTGGGCACTTTGGCTGAAACACATTCTTTAAATGGTGTGAAAAACACTCGACTCTCTCCTGCCCACTACGAGCCCAGGTACCACTTTGGTTCCTAATTGGCATTTTCGTAGCCACTGGTGGGAGGTAATTTTCATTACTCCATAGAGGGTATCTTTCAGTAGAATTCGGGGAAAGCTTCTTAATGTGCCTTTGCAAGTTGCGATCCTCTGCACTTTTGAGTGCTTGTTCAGTTTTCTACTGACAGCTTTATACAGTAGCTGTGAGGTTGGTGAGCGATGGCTCTGCCACTGTCTTCTTAGGCGCCACTTTTCTGCCACAAGTTTTTCTATTTCGGTATTAGTAACTTATGTAGGCGTAGGTGGTACTTGGACTTGATTTTTGATTTTGCCAGGCCAGCGACTGAAGTAAGTGTTTCTTTAATAATTTTCAACAAGGGAGTATATTTATATGACCCTCGCAGTTAAGTGCAGCGTTTAATTTAAGGTGACTACTGATGTACTTTTTATATTTAAGCCAGCTGGTGTTATTTGAAGTTGGACGAGGCTCAATATCGATGTTTTGGGGTTGTTCATATAGTTTTATTAATATAGGGGAGTGATCGGATGATAGTTCAGCTAGAGTTTCTGCTGTTATGTTTCTTGTAATCTTGCGAAATCTATAAGGTCTGGTATCTCCTTTATATCGTCTGTTCTGCCTTCTCGGGATTGGATAGAGAAGCAAAGCGAATGGGTCTGTCAGCACACAAACAGTCAGAGCATACGCGTCTTGGCACCCACGTCACTGTTGACAGTTACAAGTTTGAAAAAGTAGACG